GCAATAGGTGATAGCAATCAGTTTTACTTGGGGGAGCAACTTCAAATAATGTCTGAAAGAGGAACCAGGCGTAGTTTGTAGAAAAGAAGTAGGAATAGTACTGGGGGACTGGGAGACCAGTTAGAGAGGCTTTTGCTATGGTCCAGGCAGGATATAAAGAGGACCTGAACTAAGGCAGGGGCATTGAGAGAACAGAAGACGGAATGTAAGGGAATCAACAGGACCTCTTTCCTCTCAGATCCCTCATGCGTTCCCGCACTGAAGAATGTGGGTTTTTATAGCTCCTGTAAAAGCATATCTCCATCCATAAAACATAGGATCAGAAGTCTATAAATACAAGCTCAGCAAGAATTCAGCCAGAGACACAGGCTTTTTCATTTTACAGAGACACCTCAAACTATAGAAAATAGTTCAGATTTATCCAGAGTTCAAGATCTGCCTCTCCAGGAAAGGCAAAAAAGGCACATGCTCTTCTAGATTTAGTCAGACGTAGGCGGAGAAAGAGAAACACATGCAGTTCATTTGTAGATTTGACAACAGCACATTACACATCCTGTGAAACAGTGTCTACACCTAAGAAAAAAGGAATCCCATAAGGGAAGACCCGATGGGTACGTGGCCCACCGGATTTCTTCCGTACATTCTCTCTGGTTGCATGTCTGTCATTTTCAGTCTCTCAGAACTTGACTGTGATCTTTTTAGAATTACCAAAATAGTACCCAGAATTTATATAATACCTCATCCACAAGAGTTTTTATTCTCAGATAAAAATCAGTGCTATCCAAGTGGAAGGGACTTAAGGTACTCAATCTTCAGGCTAGAAAGATGGCTTGCCTAAGAATTCTTGAAAAGTTGAGTGATTGTTTTTGCCCTTTTGTAATTACTAAAACCTGAGACTGTGCAATGTTCTGGCATAGCACAGTGATTTCTAATGGATTGCATGGCCTTAACTTAGGAAGGAAGGAAGGAAGGAAGGAAGGAAGGAAGGAAGGAAGGAAAGAAGGTAGGAAGGTAGGAAAGGAGGGAGGGAGGAAGGAAACAGATTCAGAAATGACCAGGATGATCTAAAAACCAAAGCAAGAGGGGGCGCCTGGGTGGCGCAGTCGGTTAAGCGTCCGACTTCAGCCAGGTCACGATCTCGCGGTCCGTGAGTTCGAGCCCCGCGTCAGGCTCTGGGCTGATGGCTCAGAGCCTGGAGCCTGTTTCCGATTCTGTGTCTCTCTCTCTGCCCCTCCCCCGTTCATGCTCTGTCTCTCTCTGTCCCAAAAATAAATAAAAAACGTTGAAAAAAAAAATTTAAAAAAAAAAAAAGAAACACATTAGATGGAAAAGGCTTGAGGTGTCTTCTCTACACCACTGCTTACGTTGTACTGGCCAAACCCAGCTCATAGCCAAGCCTGACAATGGGTTTGGGAAGTGAACTCTGGCTCCAGAGAGGCACTTGTGGTAGTGTGGGCATGTGATCCACCTACAAAGACAGGATAGTAAATCATTGAGGACAGTAATACGGTCTACCACAGAAAGGAATTCTGACTTTTGAGAAATTGTAGTTTGTGATTTTCAGTCTTAGCAAAATTGCCCTGTAGTTTATTCTATAAATATGATAAATAAAATCCTTTCTAAAATTACTTACATTTTATACATTGAAGTAGTTGGCTGAAGATGTGCTTTATTTTATTTTACACTGGCTTTTCTGGGTTATATGTAGTATAACCAGACATGAGGGAAAATGGTGTTTCATTAAAATGGTTACAATGGGGGCGCCTGGGTGGTGCAGTCGGTTAGGCATCCGACTTCAGCCAGGTCACGATCTCGCGGTCCATGGGTTCGAGCCCCGCGTCGGGCTCTGGGCTGATGGCTCAGAGCCTGGAGCCTGTTTCCGATTCTGTGTCTCCCTC